TATATATATATTTCTATATATATATATATATATATATATATATATATATATATATATATATATATATATATATATATACACTGGATATATCACCTTCTACATATAGGTATACAATGAATGGCGGGTGGCTGGTGGACGTAGGGCGGACAGGGTTAGAGGAGGATTGATCGGGATTGGCAAGGGTCACAACAGGACCGACAATTCCGCCGGGAACGATCGCGAATCCTGACGAATGGAGGGGAGGAGGGATAATTGCGTCGAGAGTCCAGGACGAAAGTCAGGGATAAGGTATTATCCTGCGAGAACCTAGGAGACTGCATAGGTTAGACGGTCGTAGAGGAGAGAGTACTACCAACCTCTGACAACATTTTGTTCCTGTTCTTTAAGAAAATTTCACCTGGTTTGACAAACCGTGTATATCTAAATGAAAATTTTCACCTAATGAAAATGAATGGTCTGTGCTTTCGATTTGCGTCTCCTTCGCGCCATGGAGATGATTCTCTTTTTTTTCCCCTCTTTAAACCCCTAAGTCACTTTTCTCCTGTCTTCGCCGCATCCTTATTAGGGGGATTCCTTTTCTGGTATCCCGTTCGTCTCTCTCCGATGGCCACGTTGCGTTCGACTTGGATCGGGATTGTGTTTATGGCGATTGTGGGATCTATAGGGCGGATTATCGGGGATCTTTCTACTTTCGGAGTATCGGTATGCGATAACGTTCAACAGTTATACGATTAATGTAATCCTGTACTTACCTTCTCTCTGCGTGGGAGCCACGGCGGTCATCGGCTGAGGAATGGCTTGTGGGAACTGGCCGTAGACGGCGGGATAAGCTGCGGCAATAACAGACAACGAATACATCATGATTTGTCACATCGAGACGATCGCATGCGATTTTATACATCGATTTAGCGAACCTATTGGAAAATTAAACGTATAGTAAAGATTTCGATCTGCGTTATCGGCAGATTTGAGTGTACCATGATATAACAGAGAATAAGAAAAAAAAAATGTAAAGAAGCTCCGATTCGCAAGCTCCTCTTGGCGAGTGTCGTGAATTTTCGAAAAAAAAAAAGTTGACGTGAAAAGTATAAAGAATCAAGGAGACGCGTATGACGAGATATCGCAAAATCTCGACGTTGTATTCGTGACTCGCAATGTTATCGCGATATCACTTTTCGCGGACGGCTTTGACGCTTTCGTTACGACCAAATGAAATATCGCCTCGGAATATATCTGGTAGACCGCGGACCCGGCATTCTGCTTTCAATGGTTTTATTCGACGCGTCCAACCCGACCGACACTCGATATCCCTTCAAAGTCCCAGGCTCCAGGAATGTCGGTTAACTCGAACCCGCCATTAAAATATTATAGGATATCAATCATTATCGCTCCATGTGCCTTTGGCTCAAACACCGCGTTCAATTTAACTTTTAAATAGAAATTCCGAGCAAACATAACTGCAGTATGCTTTTACGCTCGTGCGTCTCCGCCGTTTCTCTATGCATATACATAGACACGTACGAAACGACGTATCGTTGGGATATGGATACGTTTGGGAAATGCAATTATAACATTATTAACTGTACGACGGTAAATATTTAAAATTCCTGTGATTGATATCTGTTTGCTATGGATTTTACTATCGGCCCTCTATATTTATATATATCGTATTATACGCTCAATCCACTATATTATATTATATTGCATAGGGATTTCGCAAACGACGAGAATTTTGCTTTGGAATTAATTATTTTCGGCGCAAACATCAGTTTAATGTATTCCGATTGACGGG